TAAATTGGAATAACAGTTATCACAGTTTCCATTAAGTTTCTCTTCCTATGACGTTGTACGAGTTCATAATTGTTTTGAAAGAAAAAAAGTATGAGAAAATTTGCTCACTCATATTTCCCAAACTGCCTCCCTCTCAGATCTCAGTGTTCCTTTTAATTTGTTTGTTTGCTATCTTCTTTGTCATATACCCTCATGAATCGTTATTTTTTCCTATGTGTATGAATAGAACCATAAGGTCTGTGGGCTCAGAAACCACATCTTCTGCTTGTTAGGCATCTTTTTTGGTGTCTTCTTCGAACAGATGAAGGGATGTTGATTTTGTCTGACCTATACCCACAGCTTGTTAAACACTTCATGCTTTCTCAGCTGCTTATTCTCATATTAGCAGGCTGAGTGGAGCTCTCTCTCTGAATTAATTCTCAAGACAAAATAAGATTGAGACATACAATTAAGGAAAATTCACTATAAAATTATGACCATCCATCATTCAGTGTCTGGTTGTTCCCCTGGCTTTTAAAAGTAATAACACTGCCTGACTTTGTGCTTTGTGCAGAATGAGACACAATGAAAGTATTTTGTGTGCTGGTGATACAATAAAGTGGAGCAGAAAAGGAAAAGGCTCCTGCTGTGAAGATGTTTTCCTTGACAGGAAACTCTTAGTCCCTAGTTGCAGAGAAAACAGCCAGGAAGATCCAGTACTTCTCTCAGTCATCAACATGCCTTTTGGGAATGATCAAGGTGCCCCAGAAATGAGGCGGAGGGCAAAGATTACTGAATTAGAATGACCTCAAGTTTCCTTCCACTCAGCCCAAGCTCATCCAGCAGATGTTCTTGCGGCCACCCCCTTCTCATCATATCTGTTGTTCTTGTCTTTATTTTTCCCATCCATCTTCAAGAAAGATTATTTTAAAATGTCAATTCAATGTAATGACTATTTACAAGGTAATGACAATGTGCAAGAGATCCCAAATTCTCTAGAAAATTCTTTTTTACTTTTAAACTAGGTTGAGTTTATTATATCAGCCAGAGAATCCTAACATACATGCTTATTTCTTATAAAACGAAGCCCAAACTCCTAAGAACTGTGTTCAGAGCTCTGTATCATCTGGACTTCACCCGCCTTTTGAACCTTATTTCTTATTGCTTTTTAATTTAAACCCTTCTCCAACCAGGCTGCCGTACTCTGTATTTTTAAACTCTCCTGGCCCATTCCCCTACCAATTATACATTTGCTCGTTTAAATTTCCTCCTCCCTGCACTGTCTCTTTAAACCCCAGCCATCTTTCAAAACTCACGTATTTCAAAGCTCTCTTTTACAGTGGAGGCTACGCTTCTTTGGATTATGCATAGTACCTCCTATTTGTGCAGTTTGTTAGGCATTTGTCAAAAACTCTCATGGATCATTGTTAGTTTTTTCTACATGTATGAATAAAACTGTAAGGTCTGCAGACCCAGAAACCATGTCTTTTGCTTGCTTGTGTTCTGAAGGAGCAGCAGAAACAAACTTCCTCATTCACTGCGGATGCCAGGTCACTTCCAAAACTCATGCCCAAATACGAAATTACTCTTTGGCCCAGGAGAATAAAATATGACTTTATGTTCATTCACTAAACTCACATTTATGGAGCACATTCTATATACCAGGTACTGGTAATGTGGGTACACAAAGGGACCCGCCCTCACAGACCCCATGGCCAACTGTGGCACAACAGGTCACCTGGGGCCGAACCCTGAGTCCAGACTGTATGGAACGTGGGGGGCCCGCAGGCAAGAGAAGAGTGTGAGAATGAGCGGATGGGAGAACATTCAAGAGTCCCAGGACTTCAGCTGCAGGCATTTCGTGGAACCGAGAGGACTCCCCACACTTGTCGGTGCTCTAGAGGAGAGTGATACATAGCATTGCTCTCTTCCAGCCAGAATTTGAGTTAAGTGGCATAGAACCCAGACTGATGGAGATACCAGCCTTAATACTGTTCAGAACCAGGGTGAGGTGTGGCTTGGATTTGTGGCAAGTGGGGATGCTTTCATTCCCCTGAAAAAAAAACTGCCCCACCAGCGGCCGGCCTCACCTGCACACAGAGTCTCCCGGACGAAGCTCCCCACGTGCTAAAAAGCAGACCAGGACCCAAGAGAAATCAGCCTCTAGCTCAGGAGAGAATTGTGAGAGAAACAGAAGATAACGTGTGGCTTCCCTACTCTGCTTCTGGAAATCCCTGATGCTTACTGTCATCTCTGTGTTCCTCTCTGGGACCTGGGGAGTCCCGGGAGCACTGTCAGGCAGCGTGCTCCCATCTGGGAAGGCATCTGGAGGTGGGAGTGGAAGGAATATCTGAAGGGCAGTGTCGCAGGAAACACGGAATGACAAGGTTTAAACACAGTTCTGTCATTATTCACTGTAAAACTCTAGGTAATTTAACTGAATGTAATTTTCCTTTTCTCTAAAATGGGAACTTTATCTCACCTGATTTTCATAAAAATGCACCTGGTATATTATAGACCCTCAAATGTTACTAAAATTTTCATTTTAGAGATGCCTTTTGGGTCTCTAACTTACCTTCTAATTGAATAGATAATTTCTACCCTAGTAACAAAGAGATAAAAGCAATGATTTACTGCAAAGGGGATATATGACCTATATGTATAGGTTAGTTGACCCTACATTTATATATTCAAACTTAAAAGAAAGTGAAAACACATCTAGTTTGGTTGAATTTCTTCTCAGCACCTGGAAAAGTAGCAGAATTTGGGAGTGGTTGGGACAGGGACAGTTGATAGCAAATATATTTTAAATTACAGATACACAAAGGCCTTAAAATTTATTCAAACTTCCTCCTGTAACACTGTGTATTTCAGAGATCTTGGACATGTTGACACTATGTGGCATCAGAGCGAGGCACAGTCCTATGGCACATAGTCATGCACCTGGAATGTCATGATGTCTTTCTCAGTGACCTTGAACTCCAAGGTTAGGATTATCCTATGTGTGTCCAACCCGCTTGGGTTAATCACTGTGATGAATTGTTTTGTTCTAGGAGATAATGTTCCTTTAATTTTTATTCCAACAGAAAAACATAAAACTACCCATTAAGAATGAGAAGCATTTTGTAAAAAGAACTTACTGTTTGTTTTTTGATACTCAACAAAATACTTATAATACCATTTCAATAAGCAATCTCTGAATAAAAACATGACTTTAAATCCAGGTAAATAAAGCAGCATGAAAAGCTATAAATAAAAGATGATTTAAATATCAGGAAAAAAATCACATTCTAGCAAAAATAATAACCAAATTGGCTCAAAGCCAATAGTCATCTTGACTTTGTTGCTAGAATTTCCATTTGCTATAGTTCTGTAACAGAGTGCTTCTCCTTATTGTTGCTGGTATCATTCCAGGCCTTCTAAAATTGATGATCTGTTGGTTAACAGACTAACAGTTTATTTTATTCAACAAACTCTATTGACCATCATGTGACCTCACGTAACCTCAAAGAAATTACACTCTAAAGCAGGAAACAGACATACAGATTGGAACTATCCAGAAGGAGAGCTTCTGCATCACTTCCATTTCTTGATGCTCCTGATGTACTAAAATTAATAAGTTAAATAATTATAATTTTCGAAACAATTATAAAAACAGTGCTATACTAAAAACGTTTGCATTTAACAATTAAGGTGGCATGATGGAAATCTTTTAATCCTGTCAATCTCTGTAGCTATTTATATAACCTTGTCAAAGATAACATCCAACAGCTGAACCCGAGGCCCTTTGTAAGTCGGCCCTGATGTGTACAGATAATATGAGAGCTCAGCCCTGGTCTCAGCCACCACGTTTAGAAGAGAGACAGACAAGATTTCTGCTGACTGGAGCACTTTGGGTCTGTGCTTACATGGGTCAAATCAAATGTGAGACGAGATAACTATCTGGTTAATTCAGGTAATGTCACCCTCCCCTCACTATGCTTTTAAAGGGAAAGTGGGAGACTTGAGCCTGAATGAGGAGAAATGGATGTGGAATAAGAACAGATGAATATCGGCCAAACAGCCAGCTGTCACCTGACCACATCCCACCTTGTGCCTCTGCCCAGCTGCCACTGTGATGGGGCCTCCCAAAGCCACACTGTGTCCCTACCACATGTTGGACCCTCACCCTCAAGTCTCTTCCCACTAGAGCTGGGGATGCCAGGGAGCCAGGTTGCTAGGCAGCTGGAGTCCCCTCAGGATCCCCAGCCCAGGCAGGAGGTACTCGGGAACGGGGGAAGGGACAGGTCTGGCTGTGGCCACCTGGATTTGAATCCCATCTCTAGGACATGTGGCTTTAGTTACTTAATATCTAAATTTCAGTTTCCTAAACCGTAAAATGGGGTGACCAACATCGTAGCTACCTCATGGAGCTGAGATGATTAAACAGAAACCACATAGCTCACAGTAAGTGTTCTCTCAAAGGTAGTAATCTGTGGTGAGATACCTACAACTAGTTTGAACATTAATTGATGATCCTTGCCTAAATCAATTATCCATCTGATAGGTGCAAAATGGTGACTATCCAAGTCCACCATTCTCTCTAAGTTTATTAATTACATTAGAAGACCTTTTCCTTCTCTCTTGTATACTTACTTGTTTATTTAATCAGTACAGACTAATGGATTCTTATCTTACTCAATGGGTTATGATCTATTGTTATCATTACTGATCTCAATATTCAACTTTTCCCAGCCTGTGCTCAGTGGGAGCTCCTTCAAGTTATTTCCCATGTGCTTTTCCCATGACCCCATTATTTTTTGAGCACTTCTTTATTTTACGGCATAACAAAGTGTTCCAGGCTCATATTCTACTTTCCCTGCCCCAGCTTTGTAATATGCTTTTTTTCTGAGAAGTTGGTTCTTTTTAGTGGAAAACAGTATATAGAATCCAACATCTGGGCACTAGGTGTGTTCATTGATTTTCAGGTGTCATCATTTCTAGGTCCTTTCAGCAGAAAAAAACTAGAGCAGATACACACATACTCACAAATGTAACTATATATTTAAAAACCATGAGTTCACGCTAATACCACAGATTCCAATCCAACACCGCAGGGTGCTTCTCAGCCTTTTGGCATTACATATTTGTGTCCCTTCTCAGCATTATCAATACAAGTTCTCATTTGTGCAGTCCTACAATAAATAGAAAGTTTTTCAGAATTGCTAACCCACAACACTGCTAAAACAAATGCTACTAAATAGAGTTCAAGATTTATTTGCAATCAGCTTTGTCTTTATAGTCAGAATACTGTGTTCAAAAAGTGCTTGGTGGTGAATTTTATGGAATATGAATTATATCCCAAAGATTTTTTTAAAAAGCTACTTGGGTTACTTCCCCTTCAGCGTGGTCATGCTCTCCATTTTAAGTGCAATTAAATCATTTGTCTGTTTGAACTGCATTTTAGGATTTTCGCTCCTCCACCTTATTTACTTAGTTTAACTTAATTTTATTTTGTAGTATATAAACACTAGTGTGGTTCTAAAAGTCCATCCTATACAAAAAGATACACTTAGAGGTATGACATTCCCTTTTCTGTCCCTTTCATTCGATTTCCTTCTACCCCTATAGGGAACTAATCATATTAATTTCTGCTTTATCTGTCCTGTGTTTCTGTTTACAAAAATAAGCTAACGGAGATATGTATAGACATACATCTGTATATCTATAACTTCTCTATATTTATATCTGTATATCTTCCATACACAAAAGATAGCAAAATATATATACTCTTGCCCTTTGATTTTTTCACTTAACAATATGTCCTAGAAATGATTCCATTTCAGTTTATAGATGTCTTCCTTATACTTTTTTTTACAGCTGCATGGTGCTCCATTGTGTGATATACCATCACTTAAGAGTTTTAATGAATTTTCACATCTCATTCGATCCTTGCAATAGGGTAGGCAAAATGTGTATTATAATTTCCATTTTATGGTTGAGAAAATAGATTCAGAGAGGTAACACAGACGAGGAATGACAGAGAGTAGAGATGTGGTCTTCAGAGTTTGAGTCCAGCACTCCTCTGACTGTATTGTGCTGTCAGAGTCTTTAGATCTCTTAATCTCCTACATTATATGGTAACTCAGTTTGTGGGCTAGTCTTGGACAAGAACCATTATTTATATCATGTCTCTAGGTTTAATGATAATAATGTGTTCTGAGTTCCAAACAACTGCTTTAAAACAAAATTTTGTAAAGAAACCCACAGAAGGATCCTGGTATACTCAAACTTGGTGATTTGAGGAAAGTTAATAAAAAGAACCTTGTTGTAGGGAAGTGGAAATTAAAATAATAAAGAGATACTATTTCTTAATTATCAGAGTGGCAAAAATTAATAAGCCTAACCATACCAAGTGTTGGAGAAGATATAAAGAAAGAGGAATGCTTATATACTAATGATGAAAGTATGCATTCGGTCAATCACTTTGGAGAACAATTTGGCAATATCTTGTAAACTTAAAGCTATGTGTAGCTTTAATGCAACAATGAACATGAAATGGGTTTATTACTGCCATTTTGTCCTAAGACAAAAATGTGAACCACTGTCCTAGAAAAATTCTGGAATATGCAAATAAAGATAATTGTTCAAAAACATTCATTGCAAGATTTTTGGTGTTAGTGGAAATGTGGACACAACTTAAATGTCCATCACAGGAACAGAGACAAATTCATAGTTGCGTTTTCATGCAATGGAATTTTATATGAAACTAAAATGAATCAACTTGGATAAATCTCAAAAGCAATGTTGGGTGAAAAAGGCAAGCCACAGAACACTGCATAGAATATGACACATTTTTTTTAACTTCAGAAATTTGCAGAACAATTTTATATATTGTAGGTACATGTATGTGTAATGGAAGCTTAAGAACATGCCTAGGAATGATGTATTTTAACTTCAAAATAGGGATCTTCAACTCTATCACATGATTTTTTAAAAAGATATATCTGAGGTAAATATGTGAAAATCTTAAAATTTTCATGGAGCTTTATAGGTAATGGTTACTACTATTCCTTTCTATGTGTTTGAAATACAGAAAAGGAGGAACGAAGGCAGTCTAGATAATTATTGGAGAAGGAATAATTGTCCAGACAGATTATCAAACATCCCTCGAAGTGAGAAGAAAGAGCTCACAATAATGCAAAATCATACCTTGGATGATATTTTAGTATCTTTAAGAAGGCAGTTGAGATGCACCTAAAAATATCAGAAGAAGGAAATTAATATTTATTAAATGGTTCTTATGTTGTTGACACTAATTCAAACAATATTTCATTTAATCCACAAAACCACCCAGCAAGGTGATTTTGTAGCTTTGGGGACATTAACTCAAATTTACAGATGAGCAAATTTGACCTCAGAGAAGTTGCCCCGGGTAGGTACATGGCAGAGGCATTCAACTTTGAGCCCGGGTCTTCTTGACTCAAGGGAGAAAGTTTTGTGCTGTGTAATTCTGTGTGTGTTCCTCAAGGAGCAGGGAACACAAAGGCTAGAGACTGGAAGATACAGCATTCCCTTTAATGGTACTTTGTATTTACAGTAACTAATGGAGGAATTCAAAGCATTCTAGAGCTGTTACAAATTAATTCTCATGAATTATTCTGAGTATAAATGAGATACTTTAAGAAACATGAAGTCACACAATGGTCAAGCAATTTTTCCTTGCTTAAAACATTAATTGAAACGTGTGGAATATAATTCAGTTTTTCTTTTGCAGAATGAAATAGTTACACTGATTAGGTCTGCCTTTTGGGGAAATCTTTCCCTCTCTCTTTTTTTCAATCATAACTCATTTCATTTTGAACTAATTAATGAATAAAAAGGACATTCGTCCAGCACTTTCTTTGAGCCGTGCTAGATGCTTTCTCACACATTTCCTTAGCCAATCCTCACAGCAAGGTTTGAGGATTTTGTCATCTCCATTTCACAGATGAGGCATTGAAGCTCGGAACCAGCAGATACCTACACACAGTGACAGGGCAGGGATACACAGTGCTGTTTCCAACCCTGCCCTGCCTGGTTTTTCATATTATGCTTTTGAACAATCGTTAACTAGCCATTCTTAGGATATGATCTTAAGTTGGCTCTGAAATATTTTACATTCTTAGGGACTGCAAAGATCTCCTTTGTGAGGAGAAACCAAGCGAGAGCCACATTGCCCTTCTGCTTGCTGAAAGCTTTCCAGGGAGCTCTTTGCACACTGCCTAAATATTTCACTGGCATTACTATTCTTGATAAACCCTCTGCCTGCTGCTTTAGGAGCCAGGCTTAAGCAGTAGTGGAATTATTATTATTATTGTAATGCTTATAATTTTGAGCATGAATTCAAAAATTTTGCTTTTATCAAAGTAAAACAGGCACGTAGTTTAAAATGTTTCCAGAAGTCTTAAAGGGCTCATTATCAAAGAGAACAATCCCTTGCCTATCTTCCCTCCATAGTCCTGCTTCTTAGATGCAGCTTCTGTATTCTTTCAAGCTGTTTCTTCTGGAATATATCTCCATATTTTTAAATAATTTGCAGATCAGCATTCTTTAGACCCGTGTATCTCAGTATAGTTTATCCATGTCCAATAGCTCCATTATCGTCCTTCTCCTGCCTTCATGTTCCTAATATAATGTTTTATATAACAGCTTTGTCAAGAAATAATTCACATACCATATGACCACCCTTTTGAAATGTACAATTCAATGTTTTTTTTTGTATATTCGGAGATGTACAACCATCACTACTATCTAGCTTTAGAAAGTTTTTTTTTTTTTTTGTCCTTTTTGAGACTGGCCGCACGGCGCTCAGCCAGTGAGCGCTGTGAGCGCACCGGCCATACCTATATAGGATCCGAACCCGCGGCGGGAGCGCCACACTCTCCCAAGTGCGCCACGGGCTCGGCCCCTTTAGATACTTTTTATCACCCCAAAGAAACATTGTACCTATTAGCAGTTATTTCCTATTCTTCTCTCCCCTCAGCCCTAGGCAACCACTAATCTACTTTCTGTCTCCCTGGATTTGCCTATTCTGGACATTTCATATAAATGGAATCGTACAAAATGTGGCACTTTGTGTCTGGCTTTTTCACTCAGCATAATGTTTTCGAGGTTCATTCATGTGGTAGCGTGTGTCAGAATTTCATTTCTTTCTAGGGCCGAGTAATATTCCATTGTATGGACATACCACATTTGCTTTATACATTCATTGGTGACAAACATCTGGGTTGGCTTTTCCGGCTGTTATAACACTTTGTGGCTATTATGCATAATAATGCTATGAACATTTGTGTATATGTTTTTGTATGAACATGTTTTCAATTCTCTTGGGTATATTCCTAAGATTGGAATTGCTGGGTCGTAGGTTAACTATGTTTAACTTTTAGGAACTGCCAGATTGCTTACCAAAGTAGCTGCACCACTGCACATTCCCACTAGCAATGTATGAAGGTTCCAGTTTGTCCATATTTTGTGTCAACACTTGTGTTTTTTAAAATTTTAGTCATCTTAGTGGTTGTAAAGTGGTTTTGATTTGCATTTCCCTAATGACAGTGATGGTGGTTGTGATATTGATATGCATTTCCTTAATGACAATGATGTTGAGCATCTTTTCATGTGCATATTGGCCATTTGTAAATCTTCTTTGGAGAAATGTCTAACCAAATCCTTTGCCCATTTTTAAATTGAGTTACTTGAATATTTATTGTTATGAGTTGTATGAGTTGTAAAAGTTCTTTATATATTCTGGTTACAAGTCCCTTGTCAGATATATTATTTGCAAATATTTTCTCCCATCCTGTAAATTGTCCTTCTACTTTCTTGGTGATGTCCTTTGAATCAGAAAAGTTTTTAATTTTGATATAGTCCAATTTATCTATTTTTTTCTTTTACTGATTGTGCTTTGGGTGTCATATCTAAGAAACCACTGCTTAATCCAAGATTACAAATATTTACTCTTCAGTTTTCTTATAAGAGCTTTATGGTTTTAGCCCTACATTTAGGTCTATGAGCCATTTTGACTTAATTTTTTGTATATGGTGGTGTGAGTTAGGGGACCAACTTCATTCTTTCACATGTGCACATCCAGTTGTCCCACCACCATTTGTTGAAAACCTCATAGAATTTTACAACAAATTTTGATTACTATTCAGTATTTACATTATTATGTGTATGTAAATATATTCTCTGCCAAATCAAGCAGTATATTATTATTTCCTTTCTTATAAAAAGCTTGTTTTTCCAGGAGTTAACAATAGCCCCATATTTATTGTTGTCATTTCTTTAATTTCCTTGAATTTATGCTTACATGTTTCCACATTCTCCAAGAGCTCTTCCCCCCCGACAAGTCCAAGCCTATCAGCTAATCTGTTACTTCCCTTTTTTTTCCTGGAGATGTCCCTTTCAGGTGACTGTTTCCCTGCACCAATCTATACTTCTTGCTCCTAAAAATAATTCCTACCCAAACCTTCCACAGAACTCTGAATGCTTAAACACATAAGCTCCCTGTTGTGTTCTGTCTTGTAGATGCTCCTTGAGCCCTCAGTCCTCTTGCTCCTGTCTACGTTGGGTCAGATGTTCCTTTAAAGAGTCCTGAGAATTACTGTTGCCTTTCTCTCCTATTAGTTCCCTCATTTCCTGGATCCCATTTCTCCTCTATTTTAATTCACTCACTCATTTTGGTGGAATACAGATTCCAGGAGCTTACTGAGAAAATGCATGGGAGAAAAATTATTTTTTATGTTTATGTGACTAAAAACATCTTTATTTCTACCCTCATTAAAAATAGTTTGGCTGGGCTTATAATTCAAGTTTAGAAATTATTTTCACTCAGCATTTTGAAGGCATTCCTGCACTGTCTCCTGACTTCCAGTGCTGCTTTTGAGAAGTCTATGCTGTCTGAAATGGTAGCTGAATCCCTAGTAACTGCCCCATTTTGTCTCTCTGGTAGTGTTTATGACCTTCATCTATAGTTGACGTTCTGAACTTTATAATACGTATGGTTCTGAGTTTGTCATGTGTCACGCTGACTAGTTAATGAATCCTTTCATTCTGGGGACTCCTGTGCTTCCATTTGAGGAGATTTCCTTATCTTGCTTCTCTGATAATTTCTTCCCACTCTTCTTTGTAGAATTCTTATTATCCAGATATTGAATTTCCTGGATGATCTTTTAAGTTTCTTACCTTTTTTCTCTTGCTGTCAATCTCTATATTATTTTACTTTGAGAAAGATTTACTTCTTCAACTTTTATTTTTCAATCCTCCCACTGACATTTTGTTTTTTAGTTATTCTTAATTTCCAAGAGATGAGGTCTTTCTTGTTCTCTGATTATACCTTTTTTCAAAAAATTTAGATTTCTCATCTTGTTTTGTTGATATAGTATCTTTTCTCATCTCCGTGAGGATATTAGCATTAACTCATGTTAACATGGACTCATTTCTTTTGAATTATTATTTTTTCATGGAGAGTTTTAGCTCATGTTATTATGTTGAAACATTTCTTCCAATGTTCAGCAATTCTTAAATCTCATATTAAAGAGTGGGACACAGAAAAGCTGAGTGGAAGTTGTGCGTGCAACAGTGTATGTGCGTGTGCTGTGGTGGGTAGGACTTGGAAGAGAAAGGAGTTGTGGATTTTTAGGCCTCACCATAGTGTGATCAGGTAGCAAGCCATTTGCGGGGGGTGGGGGGTGGTGGCAGGGGACAGGACAGCAAAATACCAATATCTACACTTTTTGATAGAGCAGTTCAATTTCCTATTAAAGAACCATCTAGTCTCCTGTGAGGAGCAGGGGATGCAGCTGGGGAAGGGGAGCTGCTGAGACAGTGCTGATTAGGAAGTTTGAAAAGATGCAGTTAGGTCCTCAGGCTCCCACTCTTCCCCTGTCCACTCCGTAGACAGGGGGTCCAGACTCTGGGACAACAAGCACAGGGGAAGATAGGGTAATTGATTAAAATCTGCATACTGCATGATACCCCCCCCCCATTTCCTGAGTAGCTCTCAGAACAGCAGCCAAATTGTTCACAGCTTCCTGACTCTCCCACTCAGCATTTAGTTCCTGAGTCTTTCCCATTGTTCTACGGGAAAACAGGGCTATTTCTCATTAGTGTCCCCTTTCCAAATGTCACCTTCCTCCCCAATGCTAAGCCTCCTAAAACTCTCCTCTGCATTACCAGTCTTTGTATATTAAGGTTTGGGGTTTCAGAATTCTCTTGAC